GAACAGAACAGAGGTCTCAGAGGCAACACAACATATCTACAACCATCTGATCTTTGACAAACCAGACAAAAACAAGCAATGGGGAAAAGATTCCCTGTTTAATAAATGGTGTTAGAAAAACTGGCTAGCCATGTGCAGAAAGCAGAAACTGGACCCCTTCCTGACACCTTACACTAAAATTAACTCCAGATGGATTAAAGACTTAAACATAAGACCTAACACCATAAAAACCCTAGATAAAAATCTAGGCAAAACCATTCCAGACATAGGCGTAGGCAAGGACTTCATGACCAAAACACCAAAAGCACTGACAATAAAAGCCAAAATAGACAAATGGGACCTAATCAAACTCCACAGCTTCTGCACGGCAAAAGAAACAGTCATTAGGGTGAATCGGCAACCAACAGAATGGGAAAAATTTTTGCAGTTTACCCATCTGACAAAGGGCTGATATCCAGAATTTACAAAGAACTAAAGCAGATTTACAAGAAAAAAACAAACAAGCCCATTCAAAAGTGGGCAAAGGATATGAACAGATACTTTATGAAAGAAGACATACATGAGGCCAACAAACATATGAAAAAATGCTCATCATCACTGGTCATCAGAGAAATGCAAATCAAAACTACATTGATATACCATCTCACGCCAGTTAGAATGGCGATCATTAAAAAATCTAGAGACAACAGGTGCTGGAGAGGATGTGGAGAAATAGGAACACTTTTACACTGTTGGTGGGAGTGTAAATTAGTTCAACCACTGTGGAAGAAAGTGTGGCGATTCCTCAAGGACCTAGAAATAGAAATTCCATTTCACCCAGCCATCCCATTACTGGGTATATATCCAAAGGATTATAAATCGTTCTACTGTAAGGACACATGCACATGAATGTTCATTGCAGCACTGTTTACAATAGCAAAGACCTGGAACCAACCCAAATGCCCATCGATGATAGATTGGACAGAGAAAATGTGGCACATATACACCATGGAATATTATGCAGCCATCAAAAACGATGAGTTTGTGTCCTTTGTAGGGACATGGATGAATCTGGAAACCATCATTCTCAGCAAACTGACAGAAGAGCAGAAGATCAAACACCGCATGTTCTCACTCATAGGCGGGTGTTGAACAATGAGAACACATGGACACAGGGAGGGGAGCACTACACACTGGGGTCAGTTGGGGGGAAATAGGGGAGGGACGGTGGGGGGTGGGGAGTTCGGGAAAGATAGCAAGGGGAGAGATGCCAGATGTAGGTGATAGGGAGGAAGGCAGAAAATCACACTGCCACATGTGTACCTATGCAACAATCTTGCATGTTCTTCACATGTACCCCAAAACCTAAAATGCAATAAAATAAATCAATGGAAAAAAAAAAGAATTACTTGGTGTAGAAAACCCACACATTGGGTGTCAGAAGTATTGTGAGTATAGGCCAGGCACAGTGGCTCATGTCCGTAATCCCAGCACTTTGGGAGTCCGACACGGGCGAATCACCTGAGGTCAGGAGTTCGACACTAGCCAGGCTAACATGCGAAACCCCACCACTACTAAATTTCCAAAACTTAGCTGGGCATGGTGGCGGACATCTGTAGTCCCAGCTACTTGGGAGGCTGAGGCAGGAGAATAGCTTGAACCCCGGGAGACGGAGGTTGCAGTGAGCCAAGATCATGCCACTACACTCTAGCCTGGGCAACAATGCGAGACTCCATCTCAAAACAAGAAGAAGAAGGAAGAAGAAAGAAGAAAAAGAGGAGGAGGAGGAGGAGGAGGAGGAAGAGGAAGAAGAAGAAAAAGAAGAAGTATTATCAGTAGAAAAACAATTTTCTTTTAACTTTCCTCTGCCTCTTCTCACATTCTGGCCAGGAGTGAACCTGTGCTCATCTGTGCTCCAGAAAGAATAGCTGCTTGACAAGCTCATCAACTGCTATAGGAGGCATTTTTCCTGCTGTGTGTCTAAGAAAAGTACCAAAAGCCATCATGACTCTTTCCAAGGGAGAAATGACAGCTCTGTCTTTGACCTGACTAGCATGAAAACAAAGCAGTCTGATCCAGAGAGCTGCTCTGTCCTTCAGGACACCATGTACCCAAACAGCATGGCACATGAATATAAACAATGAATTCCCAATGGCTATAGGCCTCCTTTGCCTTACAGCCCCTCTCAGCACTTTAAGAGGTGAGAAGTAGAACTCGGAGACACCTCAGAGATTACTGGGCATAACCCCTGCTTTTTGCAGATGAAGAAACTAAGGCTAGTTAACATGTCTGCTAAAGAAGCTGGAGCAGAGTGAAAGCTAGGACTTTGATCTCAAACTCTCAGACTTCTGTTTTATTTTCTCTATCACCCTGCAAGCCCAGAATCCAGAAGGGAACCCCATGGTTCCCATCACACTGCTATAGACTGAATATTCATATCCCCTCAAAATTTACATGTTGAAACCTAATCCTCAATGTCACGGTATTTGGAGTTGAGGCCTTTGGGGAGTGATTAGGTCACAAGGATGGAGCTCTCACCACAGGGATTAGTGTCCTTAGAAAAGAGACGGCAAGAGCTCCCTGGCCCTCTTCTGCCATGTTGAGGACACAGTGAGAAGATAGCCATCTGTGAACCAGGAAGCAGGCCCTCACCAGACACTGAGTCTGCCAGTCTCTTGATCTTGGAATTCCCAGCCTCCAGAATTTGTGAGAAATACATTTCTGTTGTTTACAAATGACCCAGTCTGGTTTTGATATAGAAACCCAAATGGACTAAGACACACACTCTAAACTCCTCATGAGAAACTGGGCTTTTACAATAGGGGAGCTGAAGAGAAAAAACACTGTTTTTTTATTCTATATTGCTAATTTGAAAGGATGCCCATATTTGTCACTGCCTCATGGGGGCAGTCCAGTCTGAAAGTCCCAGAGGGAGATATGGAGATGAAAAAGGGTCAAATACCTGGGCCTTCCTGCTATACAAATCATTCTTGTGAATGCAAATTTAGTAGTTATACTGGCGGGTTTCTCAGAGCAAGCAATGCTCATCCTGCCATTGCTTATGTTTATGGATGACCTAGGACCAAATAGCTTCTGTCACACTGTGAGGCATCAATGCTAGTGTCATTAACATACAATTATACATGCGTGGAGCAGAGCATCAAGTACCTGCCCTCTTAATAAATCACATCATGCAAAGCTATGGTTTAGATGTCAGTTTCATTTCATAAAATGATTCACCACAATGTGTCTCAAAAGCTAGTTTTGCTCATGCATTTAGTCTATGATTCCATTGATAGAGATGTGATTGCCTCACAACTTGCCAGAAACACATCCTCTGAATAAAACCTGGTACTCCTTCCCTGCCACAGAATGCCAACCTTGATCTAGACCTATTTCGGGTGCTTGGCTCCTAGAAATGAATGAAAGTCGTTGTCAAGGTGGAATTTTGCTTCAGGTCCTGTGGGACTTGATGAGGACATTCTTCCCAGCACAAGAGGCTGACCAGGAACAGGGTGCCCACAGCTGAGCGTGTTACTGAGGATAAATGTGTTTAAACGGCTCTTTGTGGACAGTTCCCCTCCTCCTTTACTGTCAACATATATCATCAAATAAATCCTTTCATTTCATGGTAGGAAGGCAAGATATTCAGGCTAGAGATGAAAGCAGTAAGGACACACTTGATAGCCCAGACCAGTAGCAGCTAAACTAACCCTGACAGCAGAAGAAAAAGAGAGAAGGACCCAACCACTAAGCCACCCAGTGAGAATGGGGTGGCAGGAAGTTAGAGAGATCCTGACCATTCGCATTTCTTTCTCTTCACTCTCTCTTCAGCCTGTCTCTGACAAGAGCGTCCCGCTTCACCCATCACAAATCTCCACTTACCATGACAGGCAATGAGGATGGAAGACGCCTACAGGCTAACTGAGGAATAGAAACTAGGGAGGGAAGCAGCTCCCGGGTCTTATAGTTTAATAATTACACTGCCGTTTTCAGCCCCTGACTTCATTAAATTCAGGGTAAGGACGAACCACGCAACGTCCTTCTCCTGCCAGGTACTTGGTAAGACAGAACCAGCCGCCTGTGTCACTCCGGCATGATGAGCGCAGATTACAGAAGCCCCAGGTCTGGAAGTTTGCTGTGCCAGGCTCCTCAGAGCAGCACCACTGACCCAGGCGCGCGCGCGCGCGCACACACACACACACACACACACACACACACACTCACACACACTCAGCACATTGGACACTTGCCCCGCCACCCTCGAAGCACAGCGCCAAGGAAAGGCCGGTTTCTGCCACGAAGGCAGCAGGTGTCCCCTGGCCATTTCCCTCCGCACCCCGACCCCAGCCCCACGCCTGGCTAAGTTCATCTCGGCGCCTCCCAAACTCTCGGTTCTCCGGCAGAATTGCGACGAAAAATAAAAGACAAAAGGTGCAGACTTACCTAACTCGTCTGGGCTGTAGGATGCGGGCGAGGCTTCCACAAACTCACTGTCTGGGGGAGAAGAAAAGCAGAAAACAAAACTCGAATCGCTACCATCCAGGGCGAACCCACCACGCATCAGCTCAAGCGCAGGTCGCCGGGAAAAGCGCGGGCTTCTCTCTCCCAGCGCTCAGAATACGTGAGCCGGGGTCCCGCGGGATTCGGGCCTTCCAACCCCCTGAGAGTGAGAAATCGCCGCAGAAACTTGAGGGCAGCTCGGCCCGGGCACCTTGCTGCTTCAAGGCGCCGTCAGCCGCGCGCCAACTTTCTCCGCGGCTACCCGGGCCGGGCGCTGGGCCGCGGCCGCACAGTCTTCCCTCAGCCCGCGGGGCGCATTGCTCTGTCGGCCGGGCCTGGCGCAGACGCCCCAGCGCAGAAGAGCCGCAAAGTTTTCCCGCGGTCCCCGGGGCCCGAGGGCGCGCGGCAGCGGCGGCGGCGAGCTCTCCTCGCCCACCCAGGCGCCCCGCGCATCCCCGCTGGTTGCTAGGCGACCGTGGCCGTCATGCTCCGCGGCGGCGCGCGCGGCCTCCAAACTCCCTGCTGGCTGAGTCCTCCCCAGTCCCCGCCCCGTTTGCCCATTTTCCAGAAAATCAGAGCATAACCCGTTCTAACCCGATTCCCTGCTTTGTTGTGTTGTCTGCCCTCCTCCGACGCTTGGGAAACCGTTTGTTCTGTGGCTTCTCCTGAGGAGACGGAGAATTTTCAGGGCTTGAATAGGTCTCGCAGAAAGGTAGGAGGAGCCCCAAATGCCCCCCAGTCCCCTCCTTTTGGAACCAGAATTCCAACTCCAGTCCCACATTATTTCCTTCTCTTCAGGAGATCACCTGGCTCAAGTGGGCAAAGTAATATGAGCCCCGTTGCACAGGTAGGGAAACTGAGGCTGAGAAGTTGTGAATGTATGCGTGACAGCATTGTGATAGGGGTATGTGAGGGAGAAGGGAAGGGAGGAGACGAGCTGTGCTCCTTCTACTCTATGAAAGATTGACTACTTCAAATACAGAACGTCGAAGCAATAGTTATGCTGAGAGCTGTAAATTCTAAAATAATTAATGTCACGCTGTGAGAACCTTTCTGTCTGGGTCAGTGGCCTGGATAACTGGGCAGATGTGTTATGTATCTCCCCCCCCCGACTCCAGGACTGACTGTGACGGCTCTGAATTGCGGGGGTGCGGGGAGGCTGGACTTGGGATGTGCTCCAGAGAGAGCCCAGCAGCTGATGACCTAGGGCAGGGTCCGGAGGAAGGAAGGAGCAGTCATGGAAATGGTTGTCCTTTCTCCATCCTGGGAGGACTACTGGAGGGTCAACAGTCTGGGCAGCCTCGTGGGGGGCCTTCTAGTGTCTCAAAGTGGTGAGAGCACCAGCTGCAGCAGCCTAAGAACCCGGATCTGAGCCAATATGCCCTCATCTTGTAAACACTCAGCCATCTCTGGGTTTTCCACTGTCAGTTTTTGGTTTACAAATCACCATGGAGGACAGAAAGCCCCTTCAGCCAGCATTGCTCACGGAGCCCAGGGAAGCAGGGGTGGGGCTGTCCTTCCTCAGCAAGGCAGCATTCTTGAGGGGCTAAGCTTATCTCTCCATCCTCTTCTTTTTCCTGCTTCTTATAATCTGAGCTCCCAAATCCAGGAATTGAATATGTTTGGGTGAAGCTTTGCACTCATCACTCCATCCCCTCCCACCTCCTAGAATTCTCTCATTTGTCTTCTGGAACTCATGGTTCATCGCTAGCAAAATCCCCAGTATATCCTCAGTCTCCTTTCTGAATGTTTCTTTCACTGTTCTTGCTCTAACCCCGTATCTGGCTTTCCTTAAACATAGCAGGCTCCATTACTTGCCTTCTCTATTTATTTCGGCCATCTACATACTCTCTGGTTGTTTCACCTCATTTCATGAAGAAAATGGCATCTGATTCACTGTCACTTTTCCCAGTATCATTGCTGTGATTATTCTTATTTTTCTCCATCTGTATAATCACACTCTGATCTCTCAAGTCTTCTGCCTCCTATCCCTTTCTTGACCTGCTCCAACCACGCCAGCCCCCTGCTGTCATAGTGACGCCATGCATAATATCAGTGTGAAGTATGCCACTCTCCTACCTTGCCGGCTTATCCTCACTCTTATTTTAATCCAATGTGTCCTTGACCCCACTATCATCTGTAATTTACTTATCCATGACCTTGGCTCTGTCCCTCACTCCCCTCATGATCCCCCTTCCTTCCTTATGGACGTTGGTTTCCAGTTTCATTATCATTTCTCTCTTACTTACACCTTCAAAACCATGTTCTGCTCTCTTTTCATGCTATTTACCTGGTAAAAACACAACCCTAGTAAAATATAACCCTCCACCTTCTTTCCATCTACACCCAGCTAAACATGATTAAAGAAGCAAATATTTGACTAGGCATGTTGGCTCACGCCTGTAATCCCAAAACTTTGGGAGGCCGAGGTGGGTGGATTACCTGAGGTCGAGAGTTTGAGACCAGCCTGGCCAACATGGCAAAAACCCATCTCTACTAAAAAAAAAACAAAAATTAGCCAGGCGTGGTGGTGCATGCCTGTAATCCTGGCTACTTGGGAGGCTGAAGCAGGAGAATCGCTTGAACCCAGGAGGCAAAGTTTGCAGTGAGCCGAGATCACACCATTGCACTCCAGCCTGGGAGACAGAGCAAAACTCCGTCACAAAAGAAAAAAAAAAAAAAAAAGCACAAAATTATGCTGCCTGGTCTTATTTTCAATTCATGACCACTAAAATCAAATGGAGCTTAGTACAGCCCAACAGTCATTCTGCATTTGTCTGTTTGTTTACTTTCCCGCTGTCCTGTTGCTATAGATGAATCATCTAAGGCCACTATGGCCTTCAGTATAAATCGGATCCTATTCATGTGGCTTTTGCCTCTTCCCACCTGGATTAATATTGTCTTCAGTCCTAGATCACTCCCATCAGTATACAGACATACTACTATGTTCCTGTCTTTTTAAAAATCCTTTATTGATTCTACGTATCTCTAGCCATTACTCCAATTCTCAGGTACCCTTTACAACAATTCATTAAAATAATTGTCTACACACTGATAGCACCCTTTCTTCATTTCACTCTTACAAGCAGCCTGAACAGGTTTCTACCTCACTCTGCCAGAATAGCTCTTTTCAAGGGCAAGAATGGCTTTGCCATTGCCAATTCCAATGATCAGTCCTAGATCCTAAGAGCAGCTTTTGACCTGCTCATCTTATGAGTGAATGGGTTTAAATGGGCTCTCCTCCAGTTTCCTATCGAATCAGGAAGCAAACAGCCTCTGTGTCTCAAGAGAGGTGGTCTATAGAGGGCTTTGGGATCAGCCAGTACTGGGTTCTCATACCAGTTCCAAAATTAACTAGTAACTTAATTTCTTTCAGCCTTAGCATTGTGTAAACATGGAGATAATAACCATACCTAGCGTGCCAATGTGGTGAGAGTACAATAAACAAATGCACATGTGGCCCCTAGAAGAAAGAGTGTCACATTGTAAAAGTCAAATAAATGTTAGTTATTATTGGATGCCATGCTCCTTTACAGCTGACACAAATGGACTCTTTTTTTATCCCATAACAATTTTGAGTTACTGAAAGAAGATAATAACCGCAGAGTATGTTTACATTAGGGGAATGTTCATTGTCTCCGGCTTTTAGTTTGCATTCCGAGAGTTGGCTTGAAAGTTGGTTACATGGAGCTGGCAATATGCTTACCCCTATGAAGAGTGTTGCCAGTCCTCCACAGGGTGATTAGGTTCTAAAGCCTGCCAAACTGTTCTCACAATGAACTTGCCTTCCATTTCTTCTTATAAATAGATGATTTGTAAGCTAGGAACTATACTTACAGCACTTTAGTTATTCGAATTTCCTAATCAACTGAGAGTTAATGAGAAAACATTTTTGTTGTTTTAGTATTCGCTGTCGAAAACTCTCTAAAGTAAATGATTCCAATTTTCTATCTCGGGAAGCAGAACAGAGCCAACAATAATGTTTCCTATTAATCAAACAAACGTTTACTGGGAATTTACCATGCTTCCAGCACTATGCTAGGCACTGCAGACACAGAGGTGATCAGTGCCTTTCTAATAAGGGATTCCATGACAGACCTTATTGAATCTCAGGGCAACATGCAAAGTGCCTTCCCACATTTGACTTTTATAGGTCTCTTATAAATAAATAGTTCTGCTGGAGCATCACTGAGTTATAATGAACAGTGCACATGTTTACAGGTTTGCATCTCAGCTCTGTGAATTACTGGGGGGCATTTTCAGTTTCCTGACAATAATACGTGCCTCACTGGATTGTTAGGAACAGCAAAACAGGTAAGGTGTGAGACAGACCGGGCACTGTGTCTGGCACACAGTGGGTACATAATAAATGTTTATTTCTTGGCTAGGCATGGTGGCTCATGCCTGTAATCCCAGCACTTTGGGAGGCAGAGGCAGGTAGACCACCCAAGGTCAGGAGTTCAAGACCAGCCAGGCCAACATGGTGAAACTCTGTCTCTACTAAAAATTAGCTGGGCATGGTGGTAGGCGCCTGTAATCCCAGCTACTTGGGAGGCTAAGGCAGGAGAATCACTTGAACCTGGGAGGTGGAGGTCACAGTGAGCCAAGATCGTGCCACTGCCCTCCAGCCTGGGTGACAGAGCGAGACTCAGTCTCAAAATGCATACATATATACATACATACATACATATTGATTTTCTTCCCACATAGAGGGCTAGAGCATGCCAGACTGCTCTCCTTTTCCTGTCCCAGGTGGCAAGAGGGCCTCCTGCTGCCACGGCCTCAGCAGACAGCGAGAGGGAGTCCCTGCCCTGTTTCTAGGGCAGCACATTTATTAGAGGTGGGACATGCGGAGAAGAAACGACAAGGTGGAAATATTTCTCAGGCTCAAGGGGAAGTTTCCCATAGAAATGGATTACACAGAGGCCTGTATCTAATAGCCAGTGTTTCTATTACCATGATATATCATGAATTGAATGGGCTTTTGGGAGCTGGCCTGGGAACCCAACTCCTAACTTTAACGTTCTTTCTTTCCTTGTATTATTGTAAATGTTTTAAATTTATTTTTATAATATAAACAAATAAAATGTTTTCCCTGTAAAGAAAAAAACATTTGGTATAGATGGGTATAAACTGAAAAATAAAAGTCTCCTTTCCTGTCCTCTTTTAATCTCCATTCTCAAACTTAAAACCATCCACAACTTCTTATGTGTCTCTAGTGGGAATTTTTTTAGGCATATTCAAATGTGTATATGAATTGTTTAAACAAGTTGGATATTGTTATTATGGATTCCAAATTAAAGGCAAAAATTCCTAAATGAAATTTTGCTCCACTCCCACTCTTAAGCTGGGGTATGACTATTTTCTGTTTAGGAAGGCAAGAAAGTATATTAAAAAATCATAGAAGAAAAGTCTTATCAACCATTAGAAAACAGTAAAATTTTAAACAAAATCTAAGTGTTTCAAGGGTAACACATAACTCTTCAGTTATCTGGCAAACTCAGTCAGCTCCCTCGTTCCTCAGTAAATGAGGTAAGGTTATATAGCAACACTGGACATAACTCCAGGATCAAAGGAAATTTTAGTTTCATTCCTAGAGCTAAGAGCACATTCTAGATACTTTTTGGGAGTACAACACCCATCACAGATATTCTGCTTAGTGTTCAAGGACTCCAGTTGTGAGCCAGGAACCTGCCCTGTAGCAGTCTGGGA